CTTTTTCAAGATAAGCCGTAGACACCACAAATCGATGACTTCCGGCTTCCTGGTGTTTTCTAGTCGCGGCGGCCATGTTTCGTAACCATAGAGTAAAATGACACGAATGGTTGCTGAGAATACTCGGATCTTCGTTCTCAGACTAATTTCCGTCCATCGCCACAATGTGTTTCTCAGTTGTAAGAAATAAATAAATAAGTAATTGTGTGGTCAGTGCAATCACGGCTAGGGCTGAAGCCAGCTTTGCTTTCGGTGAATCGGTTCTCACGGGAACCAGTAACTCGTCGAAGAATGATGCCTGTTAGAACTTTTTAGGCAATGGAAATAATTCTAATGCCTCGATGATTTTCGCACAAATTACGCTGACCCTTCTTGAAGTTGGGTACGACAGTTGATAGTCACCAATTTGAAGGCACTTCTTCAGTGTCCCAAATCGAGTTGAATAGTGTAGCGTGTCTATTCAACAGACTCGCCGACGTCTTTTAGCAAAGATGGGTGAAGGTCGTTGGGTCTCGGAGCCTTGTTTCATTTTAACACGTCGATCTCGTGTGGAATCTCTTCGAAAGTGAGACGTGTGACATTTACTTTTAACCTCGGCTCAGGTGATTCGGCAAGCGGCACTATCGCAGCAGACCTGCTGAACTGCTCCTCAAAATGTTCCGCTTATCGGGCTCCTCGACGACGCTGTCCATGTTTCTCAGATATTGTCTCGCTAACTGATGGCTTTCTCGGACCCGTATTCCGGATGGGCTGAAACAGCACCCGACTGTTTCCAATAGCGCTAGCTTTCTTCATCTCACGGGTTTTGCTACCCACCAACGTTCGTGGTGATTTCGAAGGCCCCTTGTCAGACATCGTTTCAGAGAGTTACAGACAAGTTGAAATACAGCGCCAATCATAACCTGTTTCCCTGCTTCGATCAAACTAATCTATGCTTCATAAATCCAACGACAGTTACGATGTCTGAAGTTGGGTGCATAGCATGTGTCGCAGACATTCTTCATGGTACAATTGAGACGTTCCGAGTCAGCGTTCGGCTCATCAGCCTCATTCATCACTAACAATTTGTGAGCCATTTCGTTATGATACTGAACGGCAGACCACGAGTTCAAGTTGCAGGTAATAAAGCTAGAAGACTGGCGCTTCTTTGAGGTGGGAAAAGTGAGCGGCAAGCGTGCGCGCACTACATCGTGATTGGAATCCACGCATGTACCGGCAGTCTTGGACTGACGTGCGCCATCTGTAGCTGATGGCAATATAACTAATTGGGCTTCAAGTCATTGAGGAATTCGGTGAGCGCCAAGTGACATGATGTGAACGTTGCTGATGGAATGCAGTGCTGCTAATACAAATATTGTGGTCGGTACACATTTGTACGAATCGATCACCATTGTCCTTCCGGCGTGCATGGACTCTGAAGCAGCCCCCCGGTGTTGTTCAGAAACTGAAAGACGATCTACTTCAGCAGTCAAGTCACCAGCAATAGCCACGGTGTCAGTATTCTTCGCCCTGCGAAGAAGTGACGAAAGGCATCTTCGGTACCTTCTGAACTGCGCTCAGTAGGAGCGTAAACTGAAGCGATGATAGGGCAGCTTGTCTTCATGGTTGGCAGCATCCGGTTTCAGATTTACCTGTCACTGTGGCTAGTCACAGAACGCCTGCGCCTACAGAGGGACCATGGATGGCTTGCGCTGCACCACCCACAGCTCTTTCCACACACCCCATATCCAGTGTAAACCTGAAGGAATAAGACCGGGTGGCATGCGGATGGGAGCCACGTTTCATCAACGGAGACGGCCCACACTTCTTCACAGGCAAACACAAGCACGTTGTATTTGGGAATCAAGCGCACACAAGGCGGTGCTTGGACCGTAGTCCGCTCCACACTGAGTGCATGGGACCGCTCTTCAAGCCTAGCACGGCCACAAGAATTGTGCACCCCGTCCCCTCCAGCAACGACCAACTGTCTCTTGGAGCCAGTATGGACGAGGTAGTTGGTAATAGACAGGTAGGAACCTTGTCAATATGCACATCAGGGGCATACGCACTGGGGTATCAAGCAACAGCCAATCACTTGAAATGACATTATTAAATAAAATATATATGCACGGTAGTAACTTGCAGGTCAGTGGATATTGAGCGGCGCCATATCACATCTAGTAACTTATTCACGATGGTCGTTGCCGTCCCCCTAGCTCAGTGATCTCAACCACGGACTGGCAATAGTCGAGTTGCGGGTTCGAGCCCTACCAGGGTCCAATGGAATGCGCACTGCTAACGATTCGCGAAAGGATTAAACGTACGTACAGTGCATTTTCGGGCATGTGATGGCTGTCTGAGGGAGTCTAGATGTGACCAATCTCTACCTACACCACTAAACTCCCCCTACTACTCCTGTGTAATCACTACACAGACCAAACTGCTTATTATGCCATAGTTGAATTGGCGGCTTAAGTTTAGTGTGTTCGTCGCTTGGTGTGGAGACTCCCCTGTCCTCTTCGCGGTAGTAACGTGCAAGTCAGTGGATAGCTAGGGGCGCTGTATCACATCAAGTAATTTATTCACGATGGTCGTTGCCGTCCTCCTTAGCTCAGTGATCTCAACCACGGACTGGCAACAGTCGAGTTTAGGGTTTGAGCCCTACCAGGGTCCGATGGAATGCGCACTGCTGACGATTCCGGAACGGATGAAACGAGCGTACAGTGCATTTTTGGACGTGTGATGACTGTCTAAGTGAGTCTATATGTGACGAATTTCTACCCTAAATATCTGTTAAAACGTATGGATATGCCGACATAACTCTTCCCTAAAGTAACATATAATGTAAGTTGGTAAGCAACGAATCCGCGATAAGTACAGAAGGTCCACAGGTTACTCGAAAATACCACAAACGTGACAGAGTTAACGAACATCACCACAATAAGCGTAATCAACGAGTGCAAGTTATTAGAAGATCGTTTGGATAGACAGAACAAACGAAATAAAGTGGAATGAAATTTATCCAGCTTAGAATTCCAAGTGTAAGTGTAAACTGGTTTAGCCCAACTGCTGTGGGGAAGCATCATGAATGCAACATCATCCCCAGCTTATTAAGCGCATTAGAGGTTCGAAGTCGAACCCCACACATGCGGTTGTTCACCGGTATCCAGTCTAGTAGATTACTTTCAGCATAGCTGCTGAAGGCGTTACCAATACCGTAAATATCTTGTGCCACTGACTCGGTATCTCGCGAGACACGTCATCGTCGTCAGATTCAAAACCTGCAATTCAAAGATTTCTTACAACGCTGTTGTAAACTTGTTGCGAATCTGTAACACATATCAATTCCTAGGGAGGGAAAATGAGCACTGCATTTTGACCGATTTGATGCGAAATGCGAACGAGATAAGACAGTTGGTTTGAAGAACTAGTAACATGCATCGACAGCTTTAGTTGTGAAGTCAACAGCAAACTCTTGCTCTTTAGTCAGGGATGACGGGAGTTGCAACGGTAAAAGTGGACAACATGAACGAGCATTTATTATTGGGCGCAGAGGACAGATGAGGAACCCCAGGTGCTCATTCCAAGGAAGTTATCCCCTCTCTACCCTTTCACTCAACAATTTGACCTGCGAGGATGCGATTTTTAGGATCGGAGAATATTCATCTGACGTAGGTTTAGGTCGAAATCTCAGCACAATACGGTTGTGCGGCTAAAATGGTTCTACGAAGATTAAGTACCAGAATTACTTGGAAGGCCTTGAACAACGTCTGTCTCTCGTACGCCAACGCTGTTTTAGCACATGCACTAGTTTCCTGCGAACCTTAACAATGTGTGCTTCCACCGCAATTCCGTAGCAGTTGCTCTCTGTTCTATCAAAAAACCAACTATTGTTGCTTCTAATGACACATATACGGAGTAACGCCGTCATAGTATGCTGCGTATTTTACGACAAAATAAGCAAACGGAAACAAGTCCGCTGGGGGCGGAAGAGTAGGGTGCACGCACCATCTCCACTCATTTTAATGTTCTAGCGGTGTGGGTCACCAAGGCTACGATGGCTTGCGGTGTCTGATGTGACAGCGATGAGCCACACTCAAACTGGTGTTTAGACGGTGTAATTTTAGCGACCTGCAATATTAGGAATCTGTGCAGTACTCACATCAGTGTCCAAGCGGCTCAAACGGATAGATACGACTAGCGGAGCCAGATATGATCAGTGTTAATAGATAATGGTTGATACAATTACGATAGTGTATCTATTTCTTTGCTTGCCTGCGGATTGATCACTGTGGTCATAGGACGAGATTGCCAGTTGGGGGATATAGAATAATAGTTGAGATCTTGGACATACAGAGTAGAAAGACTCACAAGGAATGACGTCGTAATTTTACTTTACACGGAGCACATAGTTCATGTGAATTTAGTCGTTCCGATTCGCTGTTTGGCTTTCAAAGCACAATAAGTCTGAAGGTGATGATAAATCGGCCAGCGCGGTGTATGTACTCAGTCGGAAGATGAAGTATTAGTTCATCACGGAAAGATGTATTTGCCGTGGTCAGTCGGTGGACAGATGTACAGTGTGACCGATCAGATGCGAGTGGATCAAATTTAGCAATTTATCTCATCGGACCCAGTCGTCTGTCTGCCACAGTTGTATTTTCCACTGACTAGCAGTGTTGTCCCACTGAGGTATCTTTCATCCTTATGCTCTTATAACAGTAATAAAATATAATGCACGTTGGCCGATATATACTATTGGAATAAAACAGTTATTGTGGGTAGGCGACACGCACTCTGTCTGTTAGCCATCCGTCTCCAGTGTTGTATTACGGCACAAGACCTGAGGTGTATTTTATATGGTTTGGAACATTTCCAATTCTAAGTTGGCCGTACACCAGCAACCTTTAGTTTTCATTGCAAATACTTTAGTGTGTTCATATTTTAACAAATGTCCGTTTCTTATCTGTGTCTATCTTGAGGTTCATCTATGACTATTCACTTCCTGTTCCCGAATTCAGCACAGCGCCCCTATACATGTGAACTGTGTGGTAAATCGTTTTCACAAAACTATAATATGCGAAAACATCTCGTCTCTATTCATTCAAGTGAGTGTTTACTTGATGGTTCCAGTTAACGTGCCTTGTATAATCGTAAATGGTATCACTTGGCATAGGTTTGATCTTCATTTATTCTTCTCACGGTCCATGATCATGGAATTCTCTGGCACTGTATAGTCTTCAGGTGCATGGCCCAAACGCATCTCGCAATCGAGCGTACACTATTATTATTGTTATAGTAATAATAATAATAACTTCGGGACAAGCTTTTCTCTCATTTTTGTTTGCTTGCTCCCCTTTTGTAGATGTTAGACACTCAGCTTCGAATGACAGCACAGTTGCACAAATGAAATTGAGGCAGAAGAGGCAGGTACAAGCCTCCTCATAATATTGTGATGAACTTCAATACATGACGCTTGTTTGGAACGATGTTCACCTGTACTTCGATCTCCCAATTTGAATGGACAGAGTCGGCGAGGGGACTTTTGCGTTCATTTGGTTCTTTACAGGCTAACGGGGAATAATTGACCCCGTGAGTATGCTTGCATATCGCTGTGGATAGCACCTTCTGTTTGCGTTTGACTTACACCGCAATTTTTGTTAGTACTTTCAAAACATGTGTACATTTGTATCTACCTCTACATTTTGTGTATAAATAAACCCGTTTGAGTTGTCTCTGCCCATGTGATACAGCTGAAAGGCTAACGCTTGAATATGTTCGTATAATAGTCACGTTGAAGCACGCAAGTTCGGTATAAAAAAACGTTGACAACAAGTTAGACCGCTCACAGGACAGTCACAAGACGCGTACCTAGGATGGCTTTCGCTGCACCATCGACACTCCATCCACCCATCCCATATGCAGTGTAAGCCCGAATGGAGAAGACCCGCAATTGTGTATGGAAGCCACATTTCCTTAACGGAGTCGGCCTACACTCCTTCAACATGCACAGCAACAACATCCCAGACAGTGTAATTGGGAAGGTGAACAGACTAGCCGTACGGACGTAGTCTGCTCCATATTGGATGCATGAAACCACTGCTTGAGCCTAGCCAAGTCACGTGGACCGTGTACCCCGTCTAAGGCGATATACATATATATATATATATATATATATATATATATATATTCTCCGGTCCCGGATTTTCCTGCGTTTCTAGAGGGACCGTGGGTGGCTTGCGCTGCACCACCCACAGCTCCATCCACACACCCCATATCCAGTGTAAACCCGAAGCAATAGCACCGGGAGGCATGTGGATGGGAGCCACGTTTCATCAACGGAGCCGGCCCACACTCCTTCATAGGCAAACACAAGCACACTGTATTTGGGAATCAAGCGCGCATACGGCGGTGGCCGGACCGTTGTCCGCTCCACACTGAGTGCATGGAAACACTCTTCAAGCCTAACACGACCACAAGGACCGTGCACCGCGTCCCCTCCAGCCACGACCAACCATCTGCTGGAGGCAGTATGGACGAGGTAGTTGGTAATAGATAGGCGTATAAAAAATTGATTACGAAAGAATCCGCGATACGTTCACGAGGTCAGAAAGTATGCTTTAAGGAAATGCCACAAACGCGAAAATGTTCTCGAAATGAACTACAATTAACTTCCGCGACGTATGCACGTTTATAGAAGATATTTCAGGTAGATCTTAATATGAGTGAAAGAAGTACTATGACAATATGGAATACTCACCACCTGAAATAAAAAGACTTAGCATACAGGCACGCGGTTAATAAATCAAATGCAGCGTACCTACAAACACTGCGCTGCTTCTGCCTACGTTTTCTGCAGGAGTCGTCACTGCTTCGGTCGTGGTCCTGAGTGGCCTCAATCATGGCTCACTAGGCCTGCCTGACTCAGACACTCGCGACCGCATGTGCTACAGCACCATGCGCTCAATGTCGATGGAGTACAACCCTTCGGTGCTTGCCGCTTCGTCTCTGCATGCATGATGGCCTTCTCCCGCACTTCGGCAACTGCCTTCGTGATCAGATCGCGCCAGGCACTCCGATCAACCGCTTTCGATTCCCATGACCTGCAATCAAGATTAGAACGCGAGACGCTCACTTCGATCATGTCTTGGTAACGCAAAATTTGGTGACGAACCATGGACCACACCGCTTACTACTGTTACTGCTATGCCTACCTTCTGGGCTAAAACTGCTCAATCTCCAATCACAGATCACCCCACCTCCCGTCCTTCACCCACATGTACTCTTATGTCTTTTGCGGTCACCGTCACAAACGATCCACGTCTCGCAGGTGATGGAAGTCACAGCCAAACCCGGTTTTTAATGTCCTGCGGTCGCAACCGCCTCTCACTCCACCGAAGCTCCAGCTCTTCTTCGACGTGATTCTCCATTCTTCCTCTCAGCGTTTAATGTTCGGACCTTGATGCAGATCGGACGACAAGCATGTCTTGTCCCTACTCTTGAAACGCTTTGGGTAGATATCTGTTGCCTTTCAGAAATCACATTACAAGACTCTAGCGCCGTCATCAGAATGGCCTCTCCGGTAAACTCTGACGCCAAATACTACCTGCGCCTTTCCGGAGACCCAGAAGCTTCCGCCACTGGCCAAGCTGGTGTTTCGGGTTGTACTGAGTGCCAGGGCTAAATCAGCTCAGCTTGACTGGATCCCAGTCAACTGTCGGCTATGTGCAGTCAGGCTACGAGATTCATGTAACGTAAGCAGGCGTCGAGACGTTAAGCGTGCCTTGGTTGTCGTCAGCCTACGCCCCTACAGACTGCAACCTGGATGCAGTTAAAGATAGCTTTTACCAGCAACTGCATGAACTCCTGCGCTCCTCCAAAAGGACTGATATAGTCATTCTTGCCGGGGACTTTAACGCACGGGTTGGCCGCCTTCCACCAAGCAAGCATCACCTTGGGGGTAGTTTTGGTCTCGGTGGCAGTCGATCACACAATCGAGACAGACTGCTTGCTCTTTGCTCTGATCATCGCTTGTTTCTTTCGAGCACTAGTTTTCAGCACTCGAGGAAACACGCTGCCTACTGGCGCCTGCCCTCACAAACGCAAGAGTGCTCCCAGCTTGACCACATAGCAATCAGCTACAGATGGCGCGGAAGTGTAACGGACTGCCGATCGTACTGATCAATTTCTCTGGACTCCCATCACGCATTGGTTTGTGCTAACATTTGCATGTGTTTCGGAGGATCACCTAAGCGAGTTCACTACCGACCGGACGTCAAGAATCTACGAAACCCTGCGATTTTAACCAGGTACCAAGCCTCAATGTCAACCTTACTTGGCTCAACTATTGACGGTGATCTCGATTCGCAGTGGGCGCATATCAAAGATGCTTTAGTTTCCGCCAGTATCGACACTTGTGGAGTTGCCCGTCACCCACCGAAGTATTGGATTTCCACCGACTCCTTGTCGCTGTTGGACAGACGCCGCTTGCTCCCATCTGATTCCAGACACAGTGAAGAACGCCAATACCTTGGTCGAGAGTTGCGCAGGAGTCTGCAAATGGACCGCGAAGCTTGGTGGTGTGAACGTGCTAGGGAGATGGAGCTTGCTAGTCTCTCTGATAACACCAGAAAACTCTTCCATCTGATTGCATTCACCGAAGGTGTTCGATCTGGTATAAGTGAAACAATATGCGAAGAGGATGGCACCTTAATCACCAATCTTCAACGAGGGTTGGATCGATGGGCCGAACATTTTGGCTCTCAGTTTTGTTGGCCCCCAGCTTCATCTGCTACATCTGGCGCTCGCACTGCGGCCGAGTGGTCTACCCCAAGAGACCCTCCCTCTTCCCAGGAAATCGAGCAGGAGCTCCGGCACATGTAGCGTTTTAAACACCCGCCCTGATGGTCTTCCTGCGGCTCTATTTAAAGATGGTGGCGCATCGCTGGTTTGATAACTCACCGCTTTGTTCTCGAAAATTTGGTCGAAAGAGAAAGTTCCGTCATCTTGGGGTGAATCGATAGTCGTCCCTATCTTCAAAAAGGGCCTGCGCACAATCTGCTTCAACTACAGAGGAATAAGTTTAATCCCCGTCGTTTGCAACCTGCTGGTGTCCATTATACTTCTCAGGCTATCCCCAACACGCGAATCGTTGCAACGAAAAGAACAAGCTGGGTTTCGCCCTGGTTGCGGCTGCATCAATCAAATCTTCACATTCCGCCAGATCCTCGAGCTCCGCCATGTGTATCAAAGGACAACGATTGCTGTGTTCCTGAATATCCGTGCAGCCTTCGGTTCTGTCGATCGTACAGTACTGTGGCACTGCCTACTAAGGGTGTCCCCGAGAAGTTCGTCTCTATACTGCGCGCTCAATATAGTCTGACCTCGGGCAGGATTAGGGCTTATAACAAGCTTTCGCCTACCTTTGTGGTCTCCAGTGGAGTTCGAAAAGGATGCCCTATCTCTCCGTTCCTATTCAACTTTGCCATTGAGGATGTCTTGAAGAACGTTCTAGGCGATGCGTTGAACGCTGGCGTTGAGCTCCTCCCAGGTAGTCGAGTTGTTGATTTGGATTATGCTGATGATATCGTCTTGCTAGGTGACGATCCACACGTCGTCCAACTTGCATTAAACCGCTTGGCGATTGAAGCGTCAAAGTATGGTATGTACTTTTCGCCGTCCAAATGCAAGGTTCTCTTCCAAGACTGACAAGTGCCTCTGCCTGCACTCACGCTTGCTGGTGAGACACTAGAGGTTGTGGAGAGCTTTGTCCACTTGGGAAGTTGCATCACTGCTGGTGGGGCTGTTGGAGACGAGATTTCGATGCTCATCTCGAAAGCAGGCTTCACTTTTTCTAGGCTGAGGCATTTGGGGCGTCGCCACGACATTCGTCTCTTCATCAAAGGGCGTGTCTATTGTGCAACTGTTCGTGCTGTACTGTTGTACGGATGCGAGACCTGGCCCATTCGTAAAGATGACTTGCGCAGGCTATCCGTCTTCGAGCACCGCTGTCTGCGGTCCATTGCCCGTGTGTGGTGGCAGCACTACGTAAGCAATGTGGAAGTTAGACAGCGTGTCTTGGGACGTGGAAGCCACTCGCTCGAGGAGCTTGTCTCACTGCATCAACTGCTGTGGTTGGGACACGTATTGTGCATACCTGTCCAGCGTTACCCCCGTCGTGCGTTGTTTGCGGTTGCTGGACAAGGTTGGAAGGGGCGGTCTGGTGGACAGCCTACAAAATGGCCTCGGCCGGTTGTTGTCGACTACCTGGTTGGGGTCCGAGAGATGCGGATACTTGCTGGTTGAAGACCTTGGAAGCCATGGCTCAAGATCGATGTCAATGGCGGACGTGTGCATCAGTTTGTTGCGTTATCCCTTCTTCCTCCCCCTAAAAAAGAACAAACTGAAAACATTTCAAAAACTGTGTGGTAAAATGGACAAGGGCTTTT